TTTTGTGTGCTTATTCTTATACTTACCACATATACCCGTACTGAACCTTTGTGTACATTTCAGCTCATGTACGCTTGTTCCTAGACAAGTAAAACGTTGCTTATCCTCGGAAACCTGGATTCTTTTCTAACTCGTTCACTCATTCATTCTGAACGTCTCACTGGCTGATAGTGCAACAGACATTGCAATAATTCGCGTTTCTACATCAAGATAGATGTTTAGGAAATAGCTGCTAAAACGTTGCTTATCCTCGGAAACCTGGATTCTTTTCTAACTCGTTCTCGGACTCATTCTGAACGTCTCACTGGCTGATAGTGCAACAGACATTGCAATAATTCGCGTTTCTACATCAAGATAGATGTTTAGGAGCCAAATAGCTGCTGCCCGATTTGCGTTGCCAATCTCTAGTGGCTGTTCCTCACTTCTATTTGACGTTCATTGACACCCCCGAAAATTTCGGTTCAATCTTGCAGGACCTACCAAGTCTATCGAGGCGTATGGAGCACTATCAGCCCTAATTCGATAAAGCGCAGTCCTACAAGGATACTGTAGCAGCTTCCCTTGCTCAGAATTTCACCCGCGTGGGGGAGTGTTCACTATGGCGTCCCCTACATTGTTAACGGAGTCATCAACAACAGCTACTAAAACTGTTCGACAGCGTGAGGGCTGTCCCAGAGAGACCACCCCAACAAGTAGAGACCACGAGCTCAAGGTATTCGTTCATGGCGGCAAAAGGCTATAAAACTACATCGGGTAACCTATTCATCGCTTGTTCAGTCGATTTAGGGACACCCCCATGAGCCACATCCATGTCCTAACATGACAGGGCCGAAGCATCACGCGTCCGAGCACCACTACGATACCGCGGGGAAAAGTGTACAGAAAAAACTGTCTACCTAGCGACGGGTGAACAACTTGGTTAAATATCCTGCATGTGGTATGGTTGATTGTGATTGTTCCGAACGAGGCCGAGTACTCATGAGAACACTAAAGAACGGTTATTACGTTGGGTGACAGATGCACATAAGCACTGACTGCCATGGTCTGCGTAGGTCAATAACCCCCAAACTCATGTATTCAGAACTTGAATGCCTATAAACGGCATCCACTTACGGTGCAATCGGTTGAGCATGAGTAAGACATGCGTTTGAAACTGTGACAAACAGGGCAGTATGTTGTAAATCCTAAAAAGGTAATGAATCACAAATCCTGCTCGCTATTCCTATCACTGTCAACTTGACTGGGCACTCGGAAAGCAACTTCAAAGACCAGGTTACACCGTCTTCTCAGACAAGCTTGCATCATTTGAAGTGAGAAAAAGCAGTCTGATGCTAGTGGATGTTGCGTCACTAATACCACAGTAAAAGGTGTCACTGAGTGTAGTGTTCAAGTTTTTCTTCAAAATCGCTGACCGTTTCATATTCAGGATACTAATTTCCTAAATCCGACACGAATGCTGTGCGACTGGAACTTCCGACGATAGCAGCTGGTGAGTTAAGAAGTGATTTCATCCTTCGACGGTCCACCTGGACTTATGCAGCTGAACATATAGATGAACTTATCCACGACATCGCAAGTACGTGATCCGTCACGAAGAGACCGGACCTTACCATGGTGTGACCATCATCATCGACAGCATGACATAAGTGTTAAACACCGATGCTTCACTGCCGTAGGGCTTGTGCAGCCCCGCTAGCCATTGAGCTATACTGGGTGTTGTGGCATGCGACACTCAGTCTCTCATACTGGATTGGTATGACCAAGTCACCTGGTCTTCTAGGATAGTGGTTGGAACATGTATGGCGACTTGTCCTATAAAAATGGCACTGTAGTTGCATTTCCAGCCAAACATCACTACCTTGCGGTCAGGCTGTTGTACAGTGCTTGGACCCTTATTTGACTGGATACTCCTTGATAGTAGCATCTGGGCAGCTCATCTGGAAACGTTTATGAAGGGGGTTCACAAGTGGAAAGTTGATCGATTTCCGTCAATCGTATCTGCTTAAGCCCCAAATGACCGTAGCTCTGACACCACCAAAGACAAGTTTTACAATCCCCTGAATACCCCGTCGCGGCGAGCTGAAAGCTCAGACATCAGTGCGGTTCCCGGAGATCTGAATGCAAAAGTAGATAGGCTCAGCGCAAGTAAGACTCAATTAGGTAGTCGACATTCATTAGACCCGGTACGCACGGACAAGGGTGAACAACTACTTCATCTTACTTCGTCTGGTTACATGGCGCTTAAAAAATGGGAAGAATCAGTAATAGTGCCCATTTTCGAAAAAGGGCTCGTAATGAGGGTGATAGCCAGATTAAGATCACCTTAACTCCGCCGTAACGAGATTGTTGGCGTCAATAATCTTCGTCGCTTTATGTTGCCTCGTGAAACTGACTCGCGAGCAACAAACGGGATTTTGACCTGGTAGGAGTTGTGATGACCAAACCTTCATACTCCTTCACGTTATAAAACAACGCCAGACGTACAAATGATCCATAGTTTTACATTTCTGGATTAAGGCGCATTCAACTAGATTGACCGGTCTGTATTCCTTGACACGTGTGCCCATAAAAAAACGCTCCAGAAGTTTGTGGACATAAGTTCTTTGTATTCCCAGACTTCCGACGCATGAGAGTATGCAAAGAGCTCTCCAAAAGCCGCCGTGCACAAAGTGGTGTCTATCAGGGGCACTCACTCTCCCCATTCCTGTTAAACTTCGTGATCGAAAAAAAATCATAAGAGAAGTGCTGGAAAGTCTCCAAAACCCCGGTGTTCAAATAGTCTGTGAAGAAAACCTTATCGATCTAGAGTACACAGAAGACACTGTTCTCAACTTCGAAGAGAAGGCGCAGGTGTTTTTTGATGAACTGACCAAAGTCATCTCCTCTTTTGGCATGCAATTTGTACCCGAAAAGTGTAAGGTCATGCTCCTAGACATGCAGTCACTGAACACGCCACTTGCAATCCAGGGAGGCATTCAAAGTTGCGGAGCGTTTTACGTATCTTGGAAGTTGTATTAGTTTTGACCGTACCGTGACAGATGAGGCCAATGCACGAACCTGCAAGGCTCGGGTCACGTTTGCCAATTTGAAACACCTATGGCGTCAAAAGGGTGTACTCCTGAGTCTCAAGGGACGTGTGTATCAAGCTACAGTGAGCTATTTTGTTGCGTGGCTGTGAGACTTGGCCTGTTCGGGCTGCGGAACTGAGACGTCTTCAGGTGTTCGATCGACAATCGTTGTCTCAGGGCCATGGCTCGCGTGGGTTGTGTCGGCGAATCCGTAACGAGGCAATTAGAAAGCGAGTTTTCGGTTGTGCAAAGGGTATTTCCATTGAAGAATGTGTCCAGCACCAGAAGCTGCGTTGGTTGGGACATGTATTGCGTACGCCCAACCATTAGTCGCTAAAGAGAGTGCTGTTTTCCATGCATAATTCAGAGTGGTGAAAGCAGATAATTGGCCAATCCTTGACCTGGCAGAGGCCCTGTCTAGGCTTGGGAACCTGGCAGGCCCTCGTGCTTCCTTCGGGTGGCATGGCAGCTAGGCACCGGAAGGGTGCTACAGCTGAACGCTTTTTTCTTTTTTCCTGGCAAAGGGGTATGAAAGAAATCACGAAACGTTTGGGTACTGTCGGTGCTACTCGCCTTTCAGGATGGGGACCGCGTGATCCTCCCTGCATCTGGTTGGAGACGCTGCAAGATATGGCTGCCAACCGATGTCAGTGGCAATCTTGCAGTCAGTTTCTATCCAGCTTGCCTGAATGAGTGTTTGGAGGTGTAGGCATCTCGGAATGATTGTAGTAAGCTTGCACTAAGTCCCTTTCCCGTTCACCTTTATTATTTTCTTCACAATAAGACTTTCAAATAAATCATGGTGGTACGGCAGTAAAGCATCGGTGTTGAACACGGATGTCATGCTCTCAATGATGATGGTCTTTCACCGTTCGGATACCATGCTGGAAATCTGACATATACAAGGCCACTTCGCACAAGTCTAAATATGCATATCCGGCTTTCGCATAGTCAAAACGAACCGCACAAAGCAATTGTAGAGCAAGACTGTCAGCTTCCGAGGGTAATTTTAGGCACCAAAATCACTGGGTTCATGTTTCTCCGGATGTTGGTTTATAGTTAGGATTAAGCCATTTCCCACAGGAAGGCTATTTACCAACATGCATCGAGTTGTGTGATTCACCTTGCCCTTAAGTGAAAGCAGTTTTAACAGAAGGTTGTGAGCCCTGATGAAATATCTCGATTGCTGCACGTGTTAGGTGGGGGTAGGCTGCCGCAACGGCCGATGTGACGCTAGTTAACGACGTACTGATGAGCATTGTTATCCTCAACAGTGTTGACACTGAGGCCTCACTGCCAACCCCAGCCCAAGGCCCTTAAAGCGATTTAGAGAGCATGGCGTTCTAAAGATACCACGATAAAAATGACGCCGCGTTGTGCTCGAATTCTCAGTGTGCGACACGGAAACAAGGGAAACTCGGAATGATTACAGCATGTTCAAAAGCAGTGAAGCATTTCAACCCCGTGTTTTCGACCAAGACATGTTAATTTACGTAAGAATCTTGCGCGAAACGGACATAGCATTCTAGACCAGTTGTCATTATTATTTTTCGTTTCATTTTTGCAACACAGTGGGGTCCTTCCTGGAACCGCAATGACGGACCTTTTCGAACACTGGTCATTGTCTTTTGCGTTTACAAAAGGTTCCATTTAAGATTACCTGGAGCCGGAGGGCAGCACGAACACGGTTGGCGGCTTTTTATAGGTACTGGAGCCGGAGGGCAGCACGAACACGGTTGGCGGCTTTTCTATAGGTAGAAATTTGTTTTTTACGGAGTCCATGCAGTTTACACTGCGAAATTTACCACCTTTCAAAGTCTATTGGAAAACGCACCTAGCCATCAGGCCGCAATCGTCGACTATTAAAACCTGAGGGGGTAGCCGTGGATACACTCACGGAACGTAAGTTGAAACCCTTCCACTGCAACTCACATGTATCCACCAACGGTTTTGAATAAAATGTTGTGAGTTTCGGTGGATGAACAATTCCGTGCCACCGGTTAGAGAAGGCGAATCATATTCCATGGAAAAATCCGAACGCCGAAAAATCAAACCATGCGGCAGGTCGTATTAATTAACACTGGTTTAGTTAGTTCACTAGTTCAATATAGTTTGGCTGAACCGTTATACGCACCAGAGGCCTTCGACTCGGTAATATAGACTGATCGGTAATTCCTCAGCCCCCAGCACGAAATGGAGGCAATTTAATAAAACGTGGATGGCTCCTTCAGGGATATGTAACTTGGAATGGAAATGAATCCCTCGTGAGCGGTGGAAGTGAACCAGAAAACCCTGCTTCACCATGGTGCTTGAGGGCATTCTGTTTGAGAGTTACCGCCGCAGCACAAAACTTAGGGAAGAAAAATTTCCACCCGAGCTTCCTGAGAAGGAAGACACCTCAGGGAAGACAATCCAAACACCGAGATCTTCGTGCGACCAGACCGTGTTGGAAACAGCAGTTGCCCTCTGATTACCCGGCAGCTAATTGCGGTGGTGACTGGTTGGGAACACCGGGTGTTGAAGTCATTCCAGCTCCATCGATTCTTCTAGCAATCACTTACTCCCTTATTCTATCGCTCCTCTTCATCTCTTCGCTTGCCACCACGCTGTCTTCACTAATGACTCACTTCCCAATATTATTCCCATGGACTTCCAGATCCTCCAGAAGATCTGACAGACCACATCTCGGATAGGCCAAAAGAGTCCTTTACTGTGGAAACAAGGATTTAACCTCAGCAAGCACGTCCGACAAACTATGGCGCGATGGTTGCAGGCCTCAAACCCGTTGCATATGAAAGGTGATATGAGGAACTTTACCTTAAAATACCACCGCCTGAACAAGGACCTCAGACTTTTCCGTCCCTTGTTTGAACAAGATTTGGCCAACAGATTTCTCATTGTTGACCCAATTAATACCCGGCGAGAACCTGGTAAGAAGATTTTCGAGCTCAGAGCACACACCATGATAGGATAACAGTTCTTTCCATTCTCGATAGTTGGTACGTAGAATAAACTTCCTCCGACAGTTATTCATGCATCTATCAGCAAAAGCAAGACACTCCTTGGTGCTTTTTGTCTGCGTCTTTGCGCTTGGGAGCCTACATTCCGGTCCTGAATGCCTGAAGAGCGGGCTTTCATTAGGATGAAGTCGCTAACCGATATTAATAGTCCGGGCTCCGAAAGCTTGAGAGAAAGCTTCAGCCCTATGCCTCAATCCGTGAATGTTCTTCCAAGGTGGGAACAAGGTAAGATCAGGACTGTCTAAGCAAATCAAAATATGAGGCACTAGCTCCTTGAAAGGCCGTAAAAGCGATTTTGTTGAGTGTTGAAATGTTGGGATCAACTTGTCACTACTCTAAAACAGATCTCGGTTACTTCCTCGGGCAAGCTTTTCTACGGATTATTGTGTAAAATTTTTTGCGTGCATAAAATTCCAGGCTCAGCTGCCGATATTTTGTACGCCACCTTTCGAAGCCCAGTAATTTAGCTATGGATTCACAGTTGCAAGGTAATTTCACAAACCCCAGTTCGTGCGGAAATCACAGGGCGTGGTATGTGAGGTGTGTTATGCTACATCCATAATGCAAGCCTCGTATGATTCTGCCTCTAACTTATTCAGCGCAAAAGAAACGCGCCGTCAACTAAGGATCACAAAGACGGGCGTCCAGAGGAAAGTTGTAATCTTTGAAGCCTCACAGCGCTGAGGTGTTGTCACGCATAATGCTAAAAAACTCTCTTTCATATCTTCGTTTGGTTTCTCCGATGAAAAATATGAACAGCAATGCAGCTGAACCATTTTCTAAAAGTGTGTGGATTTATGGTATGTACTCACACAGGCGGTTGCAGTCAGAAAGAGAGGAGCAACCATTGATGAGCACATTCCGCAGCTAACCGACGCTAATTTAACCTCGTTGGGCACACATGGGATGCTGGATATTTCGTCGTAACCCGGCATAAATTACTATCATGATTCACTGTGATGATGCTTCAACACACAAGCTCGGTGGGATCTTAATATCTCCTGACGTCCGTCCAGGAATCGATCGTTTGTTTTCCAGTACAATGGAACATGCTTCGTAGGCAGTCTTCTCTGGTAGAGTGAGGAAGGCATAAGAAGAGATTTAGATGACAGATTCATTCCCACGTTAAAAGTGGATACCGTCACTCATCATCATCTAATGCAAAGACTTGAGCATCAGCCTGTCGCACTGCGTCTGGCCAAGTCGAAGTCAAATTGGGGACATTTGGTGTCCGTATGTTAAGAATATGAATTCCGAGAAAAGAATACTTGGTTCGTAAAATGCCTAGCTGTTCCTCCACGTATTTTGGTGCCGAAGTGGCGTTTTGAACATTTATTTTACTTCCATTAAAACACCACGTATTTCATAAATTGCATAATCGTTTTTTTGTTTGAATACGAAAAACTACGAAAACGCGCACTTGTACAATTTCACATAATACAAGCGTGGTCACGTGTTTCGAGTCTCTCTTCTGATTTCGCTCGCGCTTGCAGCGGTCATTCGCGAGTCTCATGTACTAACTCTGGTACCAAAACATTTCAGACATCTTCGGAATCTATTATATGTGGGAACTGTTCAGAAGAAGACCTCTGGGCCAACATTATTGGATTATTGTTTATTCGCTGACCTGGGCCAACGACGAACTATTTTAAAGAGAACAATTGTTAGTGAGTCTGTTCCGTCTGATCTGTTTATTTTTGTATACCCAACCTAGCGTAATCATTTTTATTTCTTTGCCACACACTCCTGGTAAACTAACTTACTGGGTAGCCAGACCACTACAAGTTTTGTGAGCCCGAGTATTTCTAGATATTATTTTGAAAGCTTTTTCTTTCAAGTCGTCGTAATTTTGTTTCTTTTGCCCGGTAATTATGGACGCACACTTTGATTCAGCGGATTTAATCGAGAATGCAATTAGCATACGTTTGCCAGACCACAATCCACGCAACCCCAGAGTATGGTTTCACCAGGTGGAGGCCGTTTTGGCTACCCGACGCATCACTTCCCAAGACACCCGGTTTTCCTATGTTGTCCAGCATCTTCCTCGTAACGTAGCAACAGCAGTTGAAGATCTGTTGGAAGATATTTCTTAGGAAAATCCATATGACGCCCTTCGAGCGGCCGTCAAAAATAGGACAGGGAA